GTATTCTCCACGAACATTAATACACATCTGCATGCACGCGAAGCAACTTTTGAAGTAGGTCGAAATTTGGACACTCTGTATAATGGCTAATATTTTGAAAATGTGCCCTCAAATGTCGTGTATAACATCCCATAAATAGATTTTCCCAAAACGTATTTGGTTATGAGTAATATTCAGTCCACACATGGATGGTTCACCCATTGTATTGCTGCCAGTAACCTGTTAATTTTGCTCGAGCTCGTCAGCATCAACTACATTTCTGCCGACGGGGCTTGTTCCTCTGAAAAGGCATCGCTATCCGAGAAGGGCGCAGTGGTGAGCTTAAAACAAATTCATCGACATGAACGACGCTCTGTTCACCCCATTCGGTGCGGCTAAGCGATGGAATAACGAGCGCTTTCATTGGAGTCAAGCAAATTGGAAACTGTGTAAGCATCCACCTCAATGGATGGCATAATAAAACCTGCTGGCGTAGTGGCAGTATTTGTTTTATTTGCCTACGTCAGGAACAGGGTAGTTGTTTCATTGGTCTGTAAAGATTTCGATGAATTGAAACATCCAGCCGTGCTATCGTTCATAAATTCTCCCATAGCTAAACAAACTTGGAGCGAATGAGACGATCAGTCTTTTTGATTAAGATCAAGCACTACTACTCGTTGCTTCTCGAGGCCTTTAGGTCATAGTCGCTGTAGTGTCGGTGTCTGACAGATCCGGAGACTCAGAAACTATGCAAACTGTAGCGGAAAATTTTCTGATGAACGCAGTAATAGTATTAGGCTAAATTAAAATGTAGATCATACTGCACCTTTTTTTTACATTTTTTTAAAATTTGTTGACTTGAGAGTTTGTCATTTATTTCATACTAAACCCGCGGCTCCGCTCGCGTGGAAGTAGTGTGAACGATATTGGTTTCGGAGAAACAAATGCAAAGTAATGTAATAGCTATTTTTGCAATGAAATTTTTTATCCACCATTTTAATGCAACAATTAATTAATTTCAATAATTGCAGATTCTATTGCTTCGACAAAAAGTAATAATAAGTTTACTTGGAAAGTTAAATGATATCAAAGTTAAAGATGTGTTTGCATTTCGGGAATTGGAAATAGGTTTCATTTGATCTTCAACAGTCAAGGTCGGGGACATACTTGGCCATAAAGTTTCTTTATCTTTATATATCTGGTGTCAAAAATGTTTGTTTCCATTAAAGAAAACTGTCATATTCAAGGTCACAAGCTGAATCTTTTCAAACCTTACAATTTTATTACACAAATGATCTTGTTTACGTACCCATTCAACCAGAAATGAGCTTCGTCGCTGAACACAATTTTTCGATAAAAATGTGGATCTTCCTCCAACTTTGCCAGCGCCCACTCACCAAATGGGAAACGTTGTGAGAGGTCGTGTGGCTTCAATTCTTGCACCAGCTGTATCTTATAAGGTTTTACACCCAAATCCTGTCGCAAAATTTTCCACGTAGTGGAGTAACAGAGGCCCAATTGCTGCGAACGGCGGCGAATCGACATTTCAAGGTCATCAGTAACACTGGCGGATACAACCGCAATATTTTCTTCAGTCCTCACTCTACGCCTGCGTGTTGGTGGTTTAATGTCGAATAATGTAAACTGGGTTCGAAATTTAGTCACAAGCTTCCGAATAGCTCCCTCAGTAAGCCGACCAAATTGCCCATAAATTGGAAGCAGTGCTCGATGCACTCTCTTAACCGAGCATGAATTTTGATAGTAACATTCAATAATTTGCAAGCGTTGTTCGTTCGTAAGTCGATTCATGGTTAAATTAGAGACCAAACTGAACAAGTTTGACGATGACACAAGACACGATTCACGCGTCATCTGTCAAAAACAGAGTTGCCAAAAAGGTACTAGCAAAAAAATCACCCATTAAATTGTAAACCTTGATTCTGAATTTTCTTCCTTCTAGGTAGGATTTGAGTAGTTTTAATAGCCAAAAAGGGAAACCCTAAAGAACGTCTCTTCGCGACATCCAGAAAAGAAAGTCAAGTAGCGCCATCCCTAGGAAGCATCTTGGTCGATAACGCTACTACAATATATTCAGATAAGAGATAGACCGGATGTAAACAAAAGGTTCGGGTGATTTTCACGCTAACGCCGCCGTCTCGACGTAAAACAGGAGCCCTCATTGGCCAATTCGCAATTAAATGCCTATGCCGAGCGGCAGAGCAGTCGTATCAAGGCAGAGTCACATTCAGGTTCAGACGTGTTACGTATGTCGTGTGCATCATTGTAATTTGATATTTCTTTGTACGTTTGCGTTTGTTATCTTATTAAGTTGTTGAGTTTGTCGTTGTTATTGTTATACCTTGTTATTGATTGTTATTGTTATCAACTGCTTGCGCAAAATGCCCAGTAGTACAGATACTGCCGATGAAGTTGTAAACTCCTGTAGTCCACCTAGGAAACGCTCTAAAAAAAGACACCTGAGTGCAGAAATGAAAGAGGTCATTTTGAATATATATAAGATCGAGCGCGAGGAGAACGAGGCATCAACCATCAAAGAAATTGTTGTGAAGGTTTCTCACAAAGTTGGGGTGTGTCGCGCATCAGTGTTTAATGTGTTAAGACAATACAAAAAAAATCACACCTTTTCTGAGCCAATGACCAGTAAACATCGCAAAAGTATTGTTAAATCATTGGATGAAGCTGATAAGCCTGCGATTAGGAGGAAAGTACACGAATTCTTCTTTAGGAATGAAATACCTACTATAGATAAAGTACTGCAGGAGGTAAATGGAGATACAACGTTGCCAAATTTCAAACGATCAACTTTCCATGCGTTACTGAAGCATTTAAATTTCAAATGGAAAAAACGGGGTCGTAATAGTTTACTACTGGATAGAGAAGAAATTGTGCTAAGGAGGAGGGATTATTTAACAAAAATTGGGAAATATAGAAATCAAAACAGGAAGATTTATTACCTTGATGAAACATGGGTAAACGCAGGACACACTACAAGTAAAGTATGGGTTGATGATTCTGTAACTTCATCCAGGAGGGCCTTTCTAGATGGACTGTCCACCGGATTAAAAAATCCAGCAGGTAAATACGAGTAATAGACAACAATCGGATGTTTTTCAAACCTTGGGAACAAGGTTCTAAACATTAATTCCAGGGGGCAGATAAAACATATTACAAGTAACAAAACTTTTATAACTTTCGATAAAATGCGTGGATGTTTTATTGTCATTTTCATTTGTTAGAACTTTTTTAAGCCATGTTTTTATGTGTTTTCGATATTTCAATAATTTTTTAATATAATCTTAAAATATGTCGAATATTATAAACTTAAAAAAAGTTACTAAGTTTTATATTGTGTACCGTTCCTAATATTTCTAATCATTTTAATTCATACTTTAAGCTTTATAAAGTTATAATTTGTTAATATTAATATTTGCGCGTATTTCAGGTTCCTGATCATTCATTTTTTAGAGGTTTATAACTTTAAATTAAATTGTGAAGCGCTGAGTAATCATACGACGTTCAATATTCTTTCTTTCAATACGACTAAATAATCCCAATTATAGCAATCTGATACTCATGTCTCAATGTTTTTTCGCTGAATGTGATGAAAACATTTGAAAAAGGTTCGCTTATTGAAATAAATCTACACCTGTTAGTACTTCGATTTCCAGGTAAAGGGAAAAGGCTCATTATCTGCCATATTGGCAGTGAGGATGGATTTGTTGTTGACGGTCTGTGGTGCTTTGAGTCTAAGAAAACTGGAGATTATCACGAGGAAATGAATGGCGAATCGTTTGAACAGTGGTTTTCAAAAATTTTACCGAACTTAGAGAAAAACGCAGTAATTGTGTTGGATAATGCGCCTTATCATTCTCGAAGAATGGAGAAGGTCCCAACAACGGCTTCAAGGAAAGTTGATGTTCAAAATTGGCTCCGCTCGAAAAATATCGACTTTGAAGAAGTAATGCTGAAAGTACAATTATTAAGAATTGTCAAGGATCACAATTCGGAATATCAAAAATACGCCATTGACGAAATGGCAGCAAGTCAAAATAAAACTGTGCTCCGTTTACCTCCATACCATTGCGAGCTCAATCCCATTGAGCTCATATGGGCAGAGGTTAAAAATTATATAGCTAAGCACAATACAACTTTTAAATTTTGTGACCTCAAAGGACTTTTCAAAGAAGCACTAGAATTAATAACAGCGCAAAAATGGGAAAACTGTATTAAGCACGTGAAAGACAAAGTTGAAAAGAGAATGTGGGAACTGGACAATATTTTAGAGGAACAAGTCGAGCCATTCATTATTGACGTTGGTGCTTCAGGCAGTAGCGATGATGAAAGCTCATCAAGCTCATCTTTCCAATAAAGGATGTCGTTCATCAAATTCGGTAAGTTATAAGTAATTATAAAGCTACTGTATTTTTTAATTAATTATTGACATCTTTGAACCCATTTTGGCAAAACCTATTCAAGAATCTACTTTCTGACAATGTTCAACCATGCACATTTTTTTACGTTTTGAACGTTTTAATTTGGTTACATATTTACCTAGAAATCAAAAAATATACTAATCAATATTCTAAAAGCAATTTTAAGAGATATACGATTATTTTTAATTTAGGCTAATTTAAACGCCATTTTGAGATTATATTCGACTGTATTTCACCAAACATCAGACGGCATCCGAAGCTGGAAATCGAAGCGAAAATTTTGAAACCCTTATGTATATTTACATCATTATATATTTCTTACCCCACCCCCACATGATCCTATATCCATCACCAATCGTATACACATCGAATTGTGCTAATTTACTACAAAGTTACGCAAAGCAGCATCTACTATCTAAAATATGTACTGCGTGACTCTTAATACGTCCCTGCCGAATGTTACAGCGTTCGATGATCACGTGGTCTTGTTTAAGTCCGGTCTATCTCTTATTTGAATATACTGTATAACTGTGAATGTCCCTTTATATCTGTTGACACCTCGGTGACGTGCACATGACGATGACATTTAGGCCGCAAAATTAGAACATGGTTTTACAATGATTGTTAACGTTGTTTCGCAATGGAATCCGTCGTGGGTAGAAGTGAATTTACTGATAAACTACAAAGCGCGGGTGACAAATTGGTTATTGCGGATTTCTATGCCGATTGGTGTGCCCCCTGCAAGATGGTCGGACCTAAATTTGCAGAGCTTATAAAGAACTTTCCAGACGTAGTGATACTGACAATAAACCTGGACGATAATGAGGAGCTAGGCCAGGATTATGGCATCGAGTCAATGCCGACGTTCGTCTTGCTCAAACACAGCGAGGTTGTCGCTACCTACGTTGGTACCAATATGGATAAATTAAAGAAGGTTATTGAACAGCAACTGAACCCATTATAAAGTAGCCTTGCATCGTATGATACAACATATTGTGTATTATTGTTCCAAAATGAATGAAACAAAGTTAACTTTTTGTTGTATTTCTTTACTGAAACACTACATCGTATTAGACAAAGCATTCGTGGGAGGTCGAACAATGCAGCAGCCTTGAGAGTGCATCGATTTTGCCTACAACTTCCTTATGACATTCTATTTAAACCGCAAACGTAATATATAATAAGTTCCGCTGGCGAGTTTCTTGAAGTGATATGGAAATAAGGGAATTTCGATGCATGAAATCCAAGCTTTATTGAAGAACCGTAAGACGATATATTGAGAAACGCCCGACGTGTATTGGATGCCGGGATATTGATCGAGATGTGTTTTTACTATATACGTATAGAAAATGGAAGCAAGTGACATTGGGATTTGGTTGGAGGGAAAACTACAGTCCAAAGGTCATCTCGTCAGCAAGGGAAGAAAAATAAATTCTTTGGGTAGAATTCTATATTCGGTATACATATACTGAGTGACCATAAAATGCTAAACAGCCACGTATGTGTATTAGCATTCAAGGGGTTCTGGAAGTTCTAGAGGGACCACAGAGCGAGAAGAGCGCTTCTGGCTCTGAGTGACAGATTCAATAGTACTCGAGCTATCGCTAAATAATCAGTGGTTTGAAGAGCATGGAAGGATGGTTGGTATGCGTACGGTATATCGCATTTTTTCTTATCGCCCACATTGGGTGCTACATCTCGTAGCTGAACATCGGCGTAACCGCTTGATCTGGTGTAGAGAAAGAATTCTATGGGTCCGGGAATGGAACCAGGTGGTCTTAAGTGATGGATTCCGCTTCTGTCTGACGATGCACAATGGTCGGGCGACGTGGTGAAAGACGTGACCCATAATTGGACAGAGAGCGTCACGGTCACCACACCGTGGGAGTTATACAGGGTGTTTCAGTTTATTGTTGCATAACTTGAAGATTCGATATTAAAATGACCGAAAATTTTTTCTTAGTGCAATTTTATGCTTTTTAAATAAAAAAAACTGATTCTTCGCACTTTTCAACATAAAAAAGCTCTCTTGTGAGTTTTCGTTACAGTGAGCCGTTTTTGAGATATTTCGATTTTTAAGGTTCGATGCATTTTTAATTATTTATGATAAAATAACGTTAAAAAGTCAGTATCTCGATAATTTTTAGAGGTAGGTTGTGCCTGCAAAGATTTTTGAAATTGAAAGCAGAATAAGGTTAAACGTCAACTAGTTGACAGTTAGTTTTGTTGTCTGTTGAAACCTGAAACGTTTTCTTGCAATTGTGAATGCACGAAATTTAGTTTCTTTTACCTGTTTTTTTTTTGTACGTTTTATAAAAATGCCATTTTTATTCTCCAATCAAGAGTTAGCGGATATTCATTTTGTGTATGGCTTTGTAAATGGAAACACAGCAGAAGCAGCCAGAGAATACGCACGAAGATTTCCAAACAGACGACATCCAACTCGCTCAGTATTTGTAAGAGTGCATCGCCAAATAGTTGAAAATGGTTTTGGAAATCTCCAAAGAGTTCAAAACATAAATGTTCGTCAGCGCAGATTTACCCGTATGATTCTGCGTGAGTTTGATAGAGATCCGACCACAAGTGTTAGGAGAGTTTCTGGTGCCTCGGGAATTTCAGCAAGCCATGTTCACCGTGTTCTTAGAAATGATCATAGGCGTCCTTACCATTTGCAACCTGTGCAAGGACTACAGCCAGGGGACGGAGAACGAAGAATCACATTTTGTCAGTGGATTCTTGATAGAACTGATAATAATAGGGAGTTTTTAAGTAACGTTTTATGGACAGATGAGTCATGCTTCACTAGGCGTGGAGTGGTAAATTTTCATAATCAACATATTTGGTCGCATGAAAATCCGCATGCAGTTGGGGAAAGAAATTTTCAGCATGAATTTAGTGTGAACGTGTGGATTGGTATCTACCGTAATAGACTATTTGGACCCTACCTTTTGCCTGCAAGGTTAAATGCTGCGACCTTCTTGGAATTTTTAAAGGCTGAACATGCAAATATGTGGGATGATGTTATGTTAGATTTAAGAAGATTGGCCTGGTTCCAGCTTGATGGTTGTCCAGCTCATTATTCGAGAATAGTCAGAAACTGGCTGGACGAAAATTATCCAGAAAGATGGATCGGCCGTGGAGGACCAGTCGCCTGGCCTCCACGATTCCCTGACCTAAATCCATTAGATTTCTTTGTATGGAGATTTCTAAAAGAAAAAGTGTACCAGACTCCCGTAACCACAAGAGATATGCTAATAGACAGAATCAGGAATGCATGTGATGAAATAAAGCCTTATTTGAATAATGCTATACCACGTTCGATCATTCGTAGATGTGAATTGTGTATTGAACAATTGGGTTTACTTTTCGAGCAACTACTTTAGATTTTGTATGTTTGACCTAACTATCCAATAACATTTTAGTTGTAAATAATTAATTTAAGTTGTTAAAAATAGTATTGGAAAATTAAACAAATTAATATTCTGTTTTTTTTGTGTTTATTTGGAGTTAGGAATTATTGCTGTGTTTAAAAACACAATCTAAACGAGCATCTTAATTACTTGTAATGCCCAAATCGAAAATGTAAAAAAAGATATTATTTTCCCATGAATAATTAAAAATGCATCGAACCTTAAAAATCGAAATATCTCAAAAACGGCGAACTATAACGAAAATTCACACGAGAGCTTTTTTATGTTGAAAAGTGCGAAGAATCAGTTTTTTTATTCAAAAAGCAAAAAATTGCACTAAAAAAATTTTTTCGGTCATTTTAATACACTACAGGTACAGTAGAGAGCGCCCTCTAGCGGCTACAGTAAAACTATGCCCATGGTTCGTTTTGTCGTACCAAAAAACCCTTGTATATCAATTTTCACTGTTATACATCAAATATTGTTCGAAATATTTAAAAAAAAAACTATTTTAGAAAGTAAATTTAAACACCCTGTATTTCGGAAGCCGCGCATTTTTCGACCCATGTTTATATAGACTTTATGCATTAATCTTAGAAGTTCTATCGAATCTTAAAGTTATGCAACAATAAACTGAAAGACCCTGTATATAGACCTACAAACCTGGAGTAAAAATCCACTGCTATCTTGGAGTTTCATTGTAAACGAGTAACTATTACTTGTCACGCCAACTGGTGAGGAAGAATTGTAATAAAATTTCGAAAATGAAATATGTTTTTTGGATATTAAATGACATGTACAGGGTGGCCAACAAAGAATGCGAGTTACCGTATCTCTGAACCGATCCATCCTAGAGGCTTGCTGCAAAAAACAGTTATTACTAACATGGCCAAGAGAAGAACCGGGAAAATATTTTCAAGTTTCTGAATCTAAAAAAGGGCTGTTTTTGCCACAAGCCTCTACGATGGTATACAGTACCTTATATTCTTAGCTGGCCACCCTGTACACAAGTGCGATTAGCGATAAATAAAACTTGACAATAATGTATACTAAGTGACATATACATCCGAACACCCAGTTTAAATGGTTTTATTTTAAAAAAAGTTGGTGAATGTATTCATCTTACTGTAAATAACAAGTGAAACAATTTTCAGCCTTATCAGTTGGACATTCCGGTTTTTATACTGCTTTTTTTAATTCACTAACGCTCTAAAAATGAATATTTCAGCCGCAGTAAAGGATCAACGTTGGCGGATTTTGGTTCTTGACATCCTTTACGATCGGTTACGATGCCTAGAGTACGGAGACCTGTACGATTTCGTCAACTTAGTGAGTTTGATAGGGGCCGTATAGTGGGACTTCGGGAAGCTGGACTTTCTTTTCGGGCAATTGCAGTTAGAGTGCAAAGAAGTGTAGACACTGTGGTTAGGTGTTGTCAGGCATGGCTTCGAGAAGGCCGTACGCACAGAGCAAGGGGCACTGGACGCCGCCGTAGAACAACAGACCGTGAAGATCGCCGCCTAAGGTTATTGGCCTTAAGGGACCGTTTCTCCACTACCAGGTCGATTGCAAATGAATGGTTTGCAGAACACGGAAGACCTATTGGCATGCGAAGTGTTTACCGACGAATGAGAAGTTTTGGCTTGTTTTCATACCGGCCACACTGGGTCCTCCCTTTAACTCGAGAACACCGACGTAATCGCCTTGAGTGGTGCAGACAACGGTCACTCTGGGATCAGGAATGGAACAGTATTGTCTTTAGTGACGAGTCTTGATTTTGTTTAGGCATGCACGATGGTCGTGCCAGGGTTAGAAGGCGACATGGTGAAAGGAGGAATCCACAGTTTTTTGTTGAAAGGCATGTATCACACTGTTGGAGTTATGGTTTGGGATGCAATAGCTTATGGTTCCAGGTCACCTTTAATCTTCATCAGAGGTAACATGAACGCGCAGCGTTATATCCACGAAGTTCTAGAATCCCATCTTTTACCCTATCTTGACACCCTGGCAGATCCAACTTTCCAACAAGATAATGCCCGACCACATGTTGCAAGAGTCACAATAGACTTCTTTCAACATAATGATGTCACATTGTTACCATGGCCACCAAGATCTCCCGACTTATCCCCAATTGAGCACGTGTGGGATATGATGGGTAGGAGATTGCTCAATTTGCAACGTCCTCCTCAGACTCTAGAAGCACTTCGAGAGGAGTTGGTGGTTGCCTGGAATGAGATACCACAGGAGAACATTGACCACTTGATCAGAAGCATGCCTAGGCGCGTTGGAGAATGCGTAGCACATCAGGGTGCATCCACACATTATTAAAGGTCAAAAGGGCTTTAAAGCAGTGCAATAATTTTGAAATTTTTATCATTTAGTTATTATGCTTTATTAAGTACTTATACAATATTTTATTAAAATAAAACCATTTAAACTGGGTGTTCGGATTTATATGTCACTTAGTATATTTGAGGCAAGCATGTCACACTTCTAAGCTAGTGCAATATGGAACCAACTCGGTGTTATCAGTTCGAGGATAAAAAGCGTCTAGAAGGTATCCACACTGTACTCAACGAACTTTTTTCTCACACCTCGAGTCCTTTCGCCAGCCACCGTCGTTTCTCCTCATTTCGACACTCGACTTAACTGGCCGTCCACTGCAATTTGGAGTCTTTCCAAGAAAGCTGTAGCTGTCTGAGAAGCGATTGCGAAAATACTTGGAAGAAACACGATGCAA